ACCGCCCATATACGCAATCACGGCGCAGTAGGACCAAAGTGGAACCAAAGTGTGACCTTCGGTTCCACTGGAACCACTTTAACCTTGGGTTCCGGAACATTGTCATTAGGGTTTACGAACAAAATTGCATTTTAACTGCCATACACTGACTGAATGCGAAGAGCCACATCTTGTCTTCTAAAATAATAATGTACGGGCAAATAGTGTTAGAAAATTAATATTATACCAAATCATACATTTAAGTCTCAACCAAAAAGATAATGATCACTTCCTGGGGAAAATGATGTTATCATGTATCCTGTTTTCCAACGGAGAAGTTGACGGTGGTTGAGTGTGGGTTATACTTAAATGTTATATAGATCTTAGTGTATCTGCTTAAATTTTATCACAATAATTACGAACCTTCACCGCAATAACAGCAATATACTAATTAAACTGTCTTCTAGTATTTCCTTTGCGATAAATCTTCTTAGACCATAATAATGAGAGTATATAGCAGATTATGAAGCTGCGTCAATTTTAGTGAATGTGATAAGTTCGATTAAAAGGTACATTAAGGTTTTGGTTTCACTATGGAAATGGTCACTCGACTTTGCGAAAACTCCAGCAGGGTAACATACATGAACAGGTAACTTATGTTTGTGATGGACAATCCGAGAAGATACGTAATGGTTGCTGCGCACAGCTTGGAAGGATAACTTTTAGGTCTCTGAAACACAGATATATGGGCTTCTACGCGTTAAGCCATTACTCCTGAACGTAATTTTGACGTCTCGCAAAACCTTCGCCTTTTTACGACCCGCCTATCACTTATCGTTCTTCGGCTTCACGATGATTCCAGCAAGCACTCCAGGTTCAATTGTTAAAATATCCTTAAGTCTGTCAGTTGAATCCATTTTTAAATTGCGAATTCGCATATTCTTTACAAATCTGGTTTGCCCTACTCTACGGATTTTAATCTTTCTTAAGAATTTATTTCATATGCTAGGATTCTTCAATGATTACTTTTGTTTCGTGGGGTCTAGGAACTAGATTCTGTGATTATTCTACCGGTAACATTTTTATGTATCATTCTCAGTCGTGTGAATCGTGTGCGAGACATCACGTCCCACACAGGTGTGTCCCTTGGCTATCCGATATTAGTATTCAAACATTTCCGAACTAGAATTTTGTTTGCCTACAACTCTGTAGTTTTAAATAGATGAATCCTTAATTGGAAGCAATAAACACCAGATTTAAAAACGGGCAAGTGACAGGAACAATTAGTAACTACTAGCTCTTTGTATCAAGCAAGGCCATCAGTATGCCAACAGATTAATTTTACTCATTGATTTAAACTACAAGCTTATACTTTCTCAGAAAAAGTGCTTTGGTGATAGTTCATCAAATCTTAAAACTACTTTATGGGGTTTTTTTCTAATTCCACGAACCATACGCTACACATTCCAATGAGTACTTCGTCCATTTATTACAGTTAGGCTGAATTGTAAGGAATATTTTCCAAAAAAGCCTTGTAAATTAATGCCTATCAAGTACATAAATTGCAGATTCCTTACAAAGTTTCTTATAAAAACGGAATCCACGAGGCCGAAATCACGCCGTTTGATTTTGCACGTAGCATATTCGATTTCACACTGACCATATGAAAAAATCTTGAAATTATGTTATCGCAAATGTGCACAAACCCTGGAATTTTACAGCTCTATGGTATCAGCAAGTTTATGCGATACTTATGCGCATTGCTTCATTGTTCCTTCAGTTGTCCAACGAATACATGATGGCGGTGGCTGCGCTGCGGCCCCCGGCCTATGATCTGGAGGAACCATTCGTTAACCGCAGTGTACAGACAGTGTATCGGGACTCTGAAGCGCAGACTGACCCCTATTCACCGCCTTACACCGTCAAAGTTGGCGACATACCGGAGGTGCTGTCTATATCAACCCTTACCTACGGTCATGGGCTTCCAGCTGGTCAAAAGGAAGTTGAGATGATTGAACGTGCCAGAGAACGCCGGCAACTCGAGGCTAAACTCATGGATAACAGTCAACTCACGGGTGCAAAACTCCTGGCTTACCGCAAAAAGATGCTTGATGATGCAGAAATGCAGGAGTGGGCCCGTCGCGAAAAAGAAATTGAGGAGTAAGATGCACCTCCTACTGAACATTTAATATTAGCTTATAGGGACGTATAATATTTATCTGTTTTGTATCTGCATCTTTAATACAGACTACAGGCAATTCGCTTGCAAGTACTCGCGCAACTCCTGCGCACACGAGAGGAAAACCATCAGACAATGGTTACCAAACGGCTCGACCGGCTGTGGAAGTGTCGCGAACAGCAGAAACAAAAGAAATTACAGAAAATTCACTTTGAGTATGCACAGGGTGCGTTTATATTCTCACCTTAACTGAACGTCCCTCGACACTTTTACTAGTACAGTAGTCGCCGGCTATTAAGCCCACCTCGGGCCCAGACCAAA